TTTTATGGCAACAGTAACTGGGGAAACTATCTTTATAATTGATATTGTAGTAATGGGAAATCATTTGCATTCTTCATCACACAAAAACATTACTTTTAACCCATGCATCACTGGCCACACCTGTGCTGATTGCTCCAGACTCTTCTGCTGGATTCCCTTGTCCTGTGTTGTGAGCTCACTGCTCAGAGTCGGAAGGGAGCCTCCGGAGCTTGCGTCTTTCAAATCGTCTTCAGAAGCACTGCCCAGCCAGCTGCGTTGGATGGATCATCTCAGAGTCTCATTGTTTCTATGATTTTCACTAAAGATGAAAATACAGTGTTTTATTCTCATTGCCCAAGCTGATGCGGCTTTTCTTCATTCATTGTAACTGAGGATGATTAGGAAGTGCTGCCAATCTCCAACCAAGGATATTCACCCTCTTAAAAAAACTCCAGGACTTGAAGGAAGCAGGCCATTCTATAAAACGCCAGCAGCCCTGCACCTAAAGTTCATCATCCATCCCTCTAAAGTACTTCTTGAGCCACCATTGAGTGTGCTGCCTGGTGGAGAGATGGGGAGTCCAAGACATATGGTCCTCTATCCTTGGTCTTGGAAAACGAACAAAAGAAAAAAAGCCCGAAAAGCGAAAAAAAAAAAACAAGAACCAACAAAAAAACCAAAAACCAAAACAAGAAAAAAAAAAACGAAAAAAAAAATTATACAGAAAGAGCAATTTTTGATGACAGACATTAAAATAAACCAAAAACCTTTACTGGGTACAAAGCACTTTCTCTGGACCTTAATAAAAATGATTCCAATTTGGGTAGACGATTGAAGGAAGTAACTTCAGTTATATTTGGTTTCTAAATTCCAGGAACTGCATGGTCCAGCAGGGAAGACAGGCTAAGGGCTGTGGAAGGTACCTGAAAGTTTGGTGCAGGTGCTCAAATGGTCCATGTAGGCTGTTGATGTGGCCGGAAATATTGCACCTTTTACCCAGCACTGGGCAGAGGCCCAGTGGCCAGGCTCTGAGGTGTGGGAGCCTCACTGTGTCACGCATGTTCTATCTCTCATGCTCGCCAGTGGTCCTGACCTCTCAGTGATGGAAGGGCCAAGAAGAAGGGAGTCACGAGAACAGAATAACTAGTGTAAAAATCAAAGTGCTGGAGCCAAGGGGAGTATCTTCTGGTTGCCACAAGTTACATTTTTTATATAAATATATTGGCATAAAGAATGATTCCTGGGTACATTCCATTTGTCCTTTATTTCCTCCCTTTTATGATTGTATTATTATTGATGTCATTAAAAGTGCATTCATCAGGCCTGGCTGTCAGAGAGTTGCACTTATTTTGTGCCCACAAGCCGTTTTGAGGTGAATCTCTTGCTTTAGGGCATTAGTTGATCAATACAGGCATCTATGGTGAGGGATTGTTTTCCCACCTCCCTCTGCACAACTTGATGCTCCTGGGGCGTTCTGGTCTTCCTGTGAAGAAGTCGCTCTGCAGCAGGTGGAGACAAGAAGAAGTGAGCGCTGTCCGTGCTGATGCTCGTACCTTCAGATACGTCATTCTGTCAATTTCATCTCCTTGCAAAACAGGTCTTCCCGGGCCTTCTTACCAGCTTCAAATTGAACTTCAAATTGTCCTCTGCACTTACTGTTCCTGTTATTGAAGAAACAAACTTGAACTGTATTTGCTTTCGAAATTTGAAATTTGGAGTGGGGCTTGTTCCAGGAACCCCATGGGAGAGCAGGGCAGACTGGCCAAGGGCTGAGGCAGGTACCTGGAGTTTTTGACACAGATGCTCAGGTGTAAGGCTTTGGGGTACATGTAAATTGTTGATGTGGCTGGGGATGCTACACTTTATCCAGCTGTGGGCAGAGGCCCAGCGGGCCAGGCTCTGAGGTCCGTGAGCCTTCGCTGTGTTTCATGTGTAGAGATCCTGGGTTCTCACCTCACCATCCTGAAGATTTAATTTTTCTTTTTGTGTCAGACCCTCTGGACTTTGGATCCCAGATAGTTTTTTTCTTTGCTTTTGTAGGTTATGCTACTTCCAAAACCCTTCAGTATTGTTTTGGGTGTTTCAGGAGCAAGTAGAGGTGACTGTGCTCATTGTCCCTCAAGTTTAAGTGCAATCTTAAAATTCATCCACAATGAAGTGTTTCCATTCCAACCTTTATGTCACAGATGGCCTTCTGTTGGAACAGCCTTCAGTTGAAGGACAATGGATCTATTTTGATTAGGTGGAGGGGTGATGCTCAGTATATTGAAAAGCCAGTGTGGTAGGGGTACTGACCGATCCAAAGTAATAGCATCTCTCTTGGTGTCTGTGTGTGAACAAGGAGGAGCCATTTGAAGCAAAGACATACACGTTGTGAATTAGAGCACAAGGTCATGAATGTTCTCCTGTGAAGCATAGTTTTTTCTTCTTCTTGAGCATAAATGTTGGCCTTGGGAGAGGGAAAATGGTGAGGGGAAGAGATGCCTGGATCCTGATGTGGGATGAGTTCCAACAGGGTAAAGCTGATAAAAAAAAAAAAAAAAAAAAAAAACAAATGCAGAAAAGAAGACATAGGTCCTGTTACTGCTGGGCTGTAGATTCTCAAGTCAGGGTGAGAGGGCTAACAGGTGAAGAACAGACACAATCTCTAAGGAATCTGCTCACTGTAATTTAGGGTTCAGATATGCTCCCTGAAAGTATGTTTCACTCTTCCAGTTTAAAGGAAAATATCATGACATAAATTCAGAATGAGAGTAAGAAAAATAGAAGGGAATGGACATGCTCAGTGTTTTTGTGAATGACAAATATCTGGTGATGATGTTTCCATTGTTACTCCTTATCAAAGGATCAACACACAGGCATTCCCTAGTGTGTAAATCAGAAAACCTGCCCTTTTAGGAGCTTGACATTTTAATATATAAAGAGTTCATAGGAGCCGGGTGTGGTGGCACAGGACTGTAATCCCAGCAACTCTGTAGGCTGAAGTAGGAGGATCTCAAGTTACAGGACAGCCTTGGAAACTTAACAAAACCTATCTCAAAATAAAAAATAAAAAGTTCAGTGATAGAGCACCCCTGGGTTCAATCCTCACAACCAGGGATGGGCCAGGGGAGTTCACAGACTCAACCTCAGAATTAATTATTAATAATAGAAATGCTAATCCACAGTGTCCAGATAGTTCCATTTAACAAGAAGTTTTAATTTACATAATAGTGCCATACAATTCCATAATGATTCCAAATAATATATTTGGAATGATAAAAAATTAAATTACTACTTGTAACCTCTCATGAGATAATTGCTTCAAAGACAGCTCATTAACGGGTGCTCAAACGACTGGTTAAGAGAGGATGGGAACTGGGTATTCACATGGACCCAAAGTCTCGTATGTAGAATCCTTAAGTCTTGCCAGGAGAAGATGTCTCCTTCATCAGGGAGAGCCTCACCGTCACCAGACGACGTCGGTTACCAGAACCTCCGTCACTAACAGAGTGACACGCACTCGTGAATAAACGCATCACTAAAAAATATGCTTGCCAAAAATGTTTACCCTGAATCTAACTAAGCTTTTATATCTGACTTCCCTCTTAGAGGACAGTTTCAGAGGAACCATTAACAGGACACCATGAGTAACATACCAGACAAAACCAGGATGTGAGACCTACTACAATCAGCCTGATCTTTTTAAAAAGAGACCAGGGCAAAGAGACTGGTTTAGAGTTTAAAGAGATTTAAAAGACATAACCATAAGCAGTACATGTTCTTTAGATTGGATAAACTATTTAGGTTGGATAAACTATAAAAGATATTTCTGGAATGACTGGAGAAATTTGAATATGGACTGAGTGATAGACACATTATGGAATCAGGGTCAATTTTGCCAGGTGTCACAACTATGTACCTATGTGGGGAAATGTCCTTTTTCTGAGAAATGCATCCTAAATAATTTTGGGATGGTATTTCTTGATGTAATTTACTTTGAAATAATTTAGCAAGAATACACAGATAAAATATGAAGCAGATATGCCAAAATGTTAACTGTTGTTGAATCAAGATGGTAGGTATATAGATATTCCTTGTTTTACTTTACTTTTTTATTTTCTTGTAAATCTCATATTAAGAAGTTAGGGAAATGGTTTGCAAATGCAAAATTACATAAACCTGGTCCCAGAGAATCTCAAAGGGCCATGTCGGCATTGGGCACCCAGGAAGGAGTATATTGGTGCTGAGTTCACCGGAGCACTGGGGTGAGATGGCTGTTCACTCCAGAATGGGTGAGACTTGGGGAAGAGTTACTGTACTTCCCAGAGTGCCAAATTATTGTCAGAAATAATGTGCTCACTGGCAAGATCAGGTTTAAATAATTCTTGTTCCAACTGCAATTTAGTTGTTAGTTGCCCTACACTGTCACCTAAAATTACCTCCTTTACATGGAAAGTTTTAAAATTTCTTCCTTTGTTCCTCCTTCACTCCCTTCCCCATTTCCCTCTTCTTTCTTTCTTACTACTTCCTTTATTTATCTCCTTTCTCTTTTTTCTTCCTTCTCTTTTTTTCTTCCTTTCACCATTCTTTCTCCAAACACGATGTAATTGTCCTATCCACTCAGGCACAGATGTAAAGTGACAGTTAAAATGCAAAATTGCTTCCTGCAGTGCTAAATTGTTCTGAAAATATGGTTGTCACAGCAGGGCCCAGTGAAGCATGCCTATAATCCCAGTGGCTTGGGAGGCTGAGGCAGGAGGACGGTAAGTTCAAAGCCAGCCTCAGTAATTTAGTGATACCCTGAGCAACTTAGTGAAACCCTAAACAACTTAGTAAGACCCTGACTCAAATAAAAAATAAAAAAGGCCAAGGGTGTGGCTCGATGATTAAGTACCCCAGGCTCAATCCCCAGTACCAAAAAAAGGGGAAAAAATTTAAAAATCAATAAATAATAACAGCAAAAAGTAGAAATTATAGTTGTTGCTTAAGAAGTGTATTTGCCGCCCTGCCTACTTCTTCTGTTTCTGTGGCAATTTCAGGGAGCTGGACTGTGCCATGTTACGTCGTCTGGAGAAGAGGATTTTGGTTGATCTCCCCAGCCAAGAGGCCAGGCAGGCCATGATCCACCATTGGCTGCCCCCCGTGAGCAAGAGCAGAGCCCTGGAGCTGCGCACAGAGCTGGAGTACAGCAAGCTGAGCCAGGTGGGCAGCCCTTGTGCTGGTCGAGGGTCCAACACGTACATGACAGTCTAAGACAGGGTCACTTAAGAAGCAGCTTTCTTGAGACACATAGAAAAGATCCAAACTGCCCCACAATGCAGTGGGCCTCTTCTTCATGGAAAAAAAATCAGCTCCTTGTTATCTGTGAACATTCAAACAGAAGCAATTCAAGCTGGTGGAAATAGCATGACATTTGGACACAGTTAATCTATGGTCAAATCCAGGCCCTGCTACTTATTAGCTGTGACCTCAGGGAAGTCACTTACTCTGGAACTTCAATGTCTCCGTCTGTAAAATGGTTAGCAGACAAGCCACAGATGTGATGATGAAATGAATCTTTCCAAACAGACAAGTTCTGGGTACAGGTTGTTTTCCCCCCATTGTGAACCATTCTCAGAGTTTTGTAACCATGTTACCTACTTTGGGTGGATATTTGAACATAATGTTCTCTGAGGTTCCTCAAAGGCAGGAACTGTAAAATTTACAAGAACAAAAATGCCTACCAAATTTGACTATCCTTGGATTTGGGCCCAAGGGCCCCGTTAGACTAGCTTGGTGGCCCAGTCCTCTGCCAGCTCTTACAGTGTATTTGGATGGAGTTAGGAAGCTGCTGCCCAGCTGTTGAGGTTATCCAGACATTGTAGAAGCATCTTTTGCATTACCATCCAGGACTCTGTGTACAGTGTTTGTTTGAGGCCAACACAGAATCTAAACCAGGGATGGTGGGTCCTGCCTGTCAAACCATAACTGCCACCCACATTTTGCCTGCTGACAAATGGCTGGCTTTGCCATTGTTTCAGGAGACTGAGGGTTACTCTGGCTCAGACATTAAGCTGGTCTGCAGGGAAGCAGCCATGAGGCCTGTGAGGAAGATCTTCAGTATACTTGAAAATCACCATTCAGGTATGACTGGGAAACCAGTGAAGGTGATCTGTCAGAGAAATGTCTGTTTAAAATTCCAACTCTCACCAGCAGATGGAGCCAGGTGCCTATTTTTGGTGGCCTTCTCCACTTGTAGCAGGCTCTGGTGAAATCATCCCCCTGCACTCAATATCTCCTTGGGTGCCTAGTGTGGGGTCTGCTTTGCCCACTGATGATAAACTTCTTAGGCTTTGGGCTGTTACTTCTCTGGCACACACTGATGTTGTAATGGAGCCACTTGAGACACTGTATAAATATTAAATAATGCTTTGATAGCAATACATTTAAGTCACTATTTGGGGGGATGGTCTGGACTTTAGGAGCTAAGGTAATTGCACAGTAGAGACTTTCTTCCACTGTCCTCTTTAGTCTTGCTGTACTGCATTAACCATTAAGAATGCTGCAGTGGGCTGGGGATGTGGCTCAAGTGGTAGCGCGCTCGCCTGGCATGTGCAGGGCGCTGGGTTCGATCCTCAGCACCACATAAAAATAAAATAAAGATGTTGTGCCCATCGAAAACTAAAAAAAAATAAATATTTAAAAATTTTTTTAAAAAGAATGCTGCAGTATGCATGGTCTTGAAAGAAGGTCTACTAGCCTTTCAAGAGCCCCAGTGCCATGACGTCGACGGTTGTGCTGTTGCTATTGTCTTCATCTAGAGAGTACCCATTTTCCTGGGATCCAATTGGAAACAGTGACCACTGCTGACTTTCTGGATGTGCTGGCTCATACCAAACCTTCAGCAAAGAACCTCACTCCGAGATACTTGGCTTGGCAAAGAGAGTTTGAGTCTGTTTGAAACCACACTTATCCTGACCTGGCCACAGAGGTAATTGAAGAGGTCCTCTAGGTTATTAATACAAGTGGGAAAAGAACATCATGATTAGAACAGAAAAGGAGATTATTCTTGAACACTGGATTAATTTGGACAACTGTTATTGTTTTGGAAATATGAGACATGTTCATTAATTTTTCATCATAGATGTCAGCAAAGTATTGAAGATTTCAATTACATGTATATGTGCTATTAGGTCAGGCAATGGAGACTTTTCTCACAATTAGACTCCATAAAATTTTGATGAACAATATCCTGTAGCATTGCTCGTTTTTGAACTGGGATCTTCATTTTGAAGAGAAAGATTTTCTAAGTATTCATTTTTATTTTTTTCTTGCAACACATTCCTAAATCTGCCAGATACTCATCAGTATTCTTTTCTAAATGGACAATCAGGTCAACTTTCAATTCCCTCACTACTCCCTTGGTCCCTGCTAGTCTTGGGGGAACTGCACCTTGGTAAGTAGATTTGCACCTAATCCCCATTTTCAGCCCTGTGTTCCATCCTCGCCTATAATCATGCCCATTGTCCCCAAGGCCTTAACTTGCATGGTTCCATGTTTCTAGAGTATAATGGAAAACCTCCACACTCCTGCCTTGCCCAGGGGTGGGTGGTCATCTGGCTGCTCAGCAGGGAAAGGTTTCTGGAACTCCAACAAATACATTTATCAGCTTTTAGCCAATTCCTCACCTTTAACCTGCTTTCAACCTCTCTTCCTTGCTACCTGTTGCCTCGAAGACGAGTCTTTGAGTTTGTTCCACTGGATACATTTTAGTTGTATTTTCTTTGTGCTGATTTTAATGATCAATACCCGTCTTCCTTCCATTATCCAAATTATCATCTCTTTATTCACAGACGTCTTCTCTGACATTCTGTTGTTGGTTGATCTTGTGGGTTTATAACTTCTTTATTTATTTTCTGGTATTTTACTGGAGTTTTGAGAAAGACCAACTAATACATATTTATGTGTCATGTACTATAGAGTCTATCTAGTTATTTTTTGGAAAGTGGATTGAAAGTGTCTCAGCCACTTGTGAGGCGGAGGCGGGGAGATTTTGAGTTCAGGGCCAGGCTCAGCAACCTAGCAACATTCTATCTCAACAAACAAATACACACACACACACACACATATTTAAATTTATATAGGAAGTTGGCTATTGGTGAAAAATGACTTTATCCATGTGTGCTATTTTCTTCTAAAGCAAGAGGTCATGACTCAAACACCCACAGAAACAATGAACTTGATACCCAATGAGTAAAATAAGCTGAGTGTGGTTCTTCAAGACAGACGGGGGTCTGGAGAACTGGGGATGAAGGAAACTGTGAAGGGCACAGCAATGAATGATTCAACCTCAGATGAATGTGGGAATTTGGTCCAACATTGCCAGATCTTCTAATCTTCCTAGAAAACCCAGTAATTGATTTGCACTTGAATCTCCTGATTCTCAAATGTCAACAACTAAGGATGACCACCTGCCTGTATAACTCTCACATTCATCCCACACTTCATTCCCATCAGAAGCCTTATCCGATGCACCTGGGATTATCTGGAATTACCAGATTATCCCACCCCTCCCTTTTATTGGTTTTAATTGTCATTATATGAATCTCTCATTATAGTAGGTAGTCGTGTATTTGTGCATGTGTTTTGTTGTCCATTTACCCTCCTCAAATATAAGCCTTGACTGTGGTACTTTCTGGGCTGCTATTGAATGAATGAACATTTTTTTTTTTAAATGGCTTAGGTCAAAGCTATCTGAGCAGCGTTTGCTTCACAGAATTTGTGACTTTTGTTCCATAGCACATACCTTGCTGCACAGAACTTCTCATTTAGAGGACTTACACACCATTTTGAACTTGTTAGAACCCTTTGCATATTGTCAGAGGTATTTTTATATGCTTCAATTCCCCACCTAGAAGGTTGACATCACAGAAGTCAGAGCAGCATTCCACTGTCTTCCTTATGCTTTACCCAGCAAGCATTTAATATAAATATGATTCTCTCAGCTACATCAGCCAGTGAAACAAACAGTTTAGATGCGTATGACATGAAGGTGAGCATTGGAAAATGTAAGGTACTCAAACCGAGAGATAAGCAGTTTGTTATGATAAATGATTTCTGGTACTCCGGGTGCCTCATTACTGCTCCTTAAAGAGAGTAACATGCTTTCAGCTAGTAGGCCTTGGTGGCTGGTGTAATAAAGTCAGTAAAGGCCTTGTGCATTTATGCTGAAAAGGCCTTTGTGACTTAGACCAACTAAGCGTGATAATGCAAACAAGGCCCTGTGTAAACAACTGCTAGTATGAAAAGGGTGTCTACCACTCAAGACAGAGCCTTTGGTGAAACAGATTAATGTATTTTAAAAATTCTTAACTAGCTGGATACGGTGGTGCATGCTTTGTAATTCCAGTGGCTTGGGAGGCTGAGGCAGGAAGATCTTGGGTTCAAAGCCAGCCTCAGCAACGGAGAGGTGCGAGAAAAGCGGTGGAGCCTCCCGGTCCTCTGCACACCAACTCACAGCGCATGCCCTGCAGCCATCTCCTGACAGTGGGTATTCTCATCACTTTTCTAGAACCAAGGTGTCAGCCACTTGGTCCCTTTCCTGGCACAGGACAGGATTACAGTAAAAATTATACAGACACTGTCCTTGTGGTCAATACCACAAGAAGATCCTCTAATTGTGGGATGGGTGGAGAAGGAAACTCTACAGATGCTTGAATTACTTGTACTTCCTCTGTGAGGCTCAAGGTGGCCTATAACCAGCTAAGACTAACACTTGGAGTATTTGTAGCTATTTTGATCTAAGATGAGACTTTTATTTGCCTCCATGGACCTCTCTGTGGACAGGTCACTTAGCAAGCCATGTTTGTTAAATAAACATCTCAAACATGGAGGAAAGGGCAGAAGCCGATTCTCTGGGGCGGGTATGTCTGCTCAGGTCTCACTTATGCCTGCGACTGTTTAACTTCCTGATCCATCATGAGGTCTTGCCTTAGCTTTAAGCTGTCTCCAGATATCAACTCCATTATTTCCAAATGTCAAATGCAGCCTCCCTGATATGCATCTTTAAGGCAGTAACTCTACATTGAAACATTCCATGCCCCCACCAAAGCTATGCCTTCCAGCATTACATTCCTGTAGTATTTAGTTTTATTGGTTCAATAACTGATCGCCTGTGTTGCAGCAAGTATAGAAAATGACTCAGCCTTGTCTGGTGGGGAGAAGAGAAGTGTGAAGACACAAGGGCAATATAAGAAGTGCCACCTGGGGATGAAGGAGGCTGCATCTTGCTCCAGTGTGCAGGCAGGGAAGACATCAGAGATACAGGAGTTGTCTTCCTGGTGTTCCTGACTTGTGCATTCTCCTTAGCTCCTGATTAGAAAGGATCAAGGCAAAACCCTTCTTATATGCTTGCTTCCCATAAAAATCAGGGATAGCACACCAGTTAGCACACGGCAACTGGCAAACATTTGATAAACTCCTAGGCAAGGAATCCCTAACTCCAGTGCACAAGTCAAAGTCAAAGCTGACTGTGGCCTGTCCACCAGGCAGTGCTTTCTACCTGCATGCTGGGCTTCTCCTGCTGCAGCTTTGCCCTGAGACTGCCCAAGTGCAGCATCATATCTCCTTTAATCCTCAGGAAGACTCTCTCAGAGACAGCCCCTTACTGGCAGATAGTCCCTTCACCCGTTCAGCACCACTGCAGACACATAGCACTTAATCTGCCCCATTCCAGTCTAAATACTTAAATGTGTTTCAAGTATTTAATATTCGAAAGCAACCCTGTGTGGTAGGCACTGCCATTATCCCCATTTTACAAATAAAGACAGGAGGCCTGCGAGGTAAGGTGACTTGCTCAAGGTCAGAGGGCTTGGTGTATGCTGGTGGGATTCCAGAAGCTCTGCTCACAGCCACTCCATACAGCCTGCTGACCTGGGGGCTTGGTCATTCCATGTCTGTCTTTTGCTTCTAGACATAAGTATTAAGTTGGGGCTTTTGCAAAAACAAGAAAAGTGCTTGCCCAACTATCATTTATTTAGCTTTGCTCCCTCCCATCCAAGACCGAGCTGATCTCTAAACAAGCATCAAAACCCGAAGCTCATTAACATCAGCGTGCACTTCAATAAGGTGAACACTACAATGATGTACAATTACATTCTAATAATTCAATGCCCAAGAGCCCTGTAAAACAATTGCAAAGGCCCAGGATTATCACAGTATGCAAATGCACTAGGAAAATCATTACCTACTTAGTCCCCTTCATTTGGGTGGGTTTAACATGAGAAGAATAATCCATGCTACAAGACGAGATTTCATTTTACAGCTGTAGTAACCAAGTACATAAAAGCTTGAATCTGTCCCAATAGCTTCTAAAAGATTTTTCCCATAGTGTCAGAGGCAAAAATAATGAAATCTTGCAAATGTACAGTTAATAGGACCCTGGTGGACACTAACTTCAAAAATGCATGGTCTATAAGACATTAAAGGCTTGATTTTAGTTTCTGCACTGTTCCTGTTAATAACAATGTCTAATTAAAACATCTGTAAAATACTGATAGTTTTAATTTTACATAAAATTTCCAAAACAACTGTTACACAGTATAATAGGTATCTGCAATGAATAGGTTATTAATGGAAATATTATTTTAAATTAAAATCAGGTTCTAAATTTAAATTAGTCATCTCTGGCTAATGAAGAGAAAGGAAGTCACCCATGCTGGGAATTCAACAGAAAATCTAGTTTTCAACATCTGCTAAAGTAAATTCACTCGACAGTCTGAAGGACAATTCATTTTGCTGCCTCTGTCTTGTACTCCACTTGGCTCTTTGGCTAGGTCTCACAGTTGAACTCAATTTCAAAACATGAGGCTAATGCACCTTTCAACGCATCACTTTATAATTTACAAACCACCATTCAACTTTATTCACAGTCTGAATCCCCCTCCCGATTTCCAGCAGGAGACAGCAGAGAACACCATTCCCCATTGGAGCTTCTCTCTCCCAGCCCTGCGAACCTGATGAATATTTTAGAGGGAATGGCATAAAATCTCAGCTTTTCTTTTCTTCGGGTCTCATCTTCTTTTACAAAATAAAACAAAAGAGATTAGCAAGGCTTAGTAGCTGGATGCAATTCAATACCTTTCTTTCTAATTAATGCACAATAAAAGAGGGTTAAAGCATAATCAGCTCTGAATGGTTCGTGGCTACTGATGCTGCACCAAGTTGGTAAGGGATCCATTCCAGACAATGA